CCCTATTTCAATTTTAAAAAAACCCACACGATGTTCAACAGAGTAAAAGATGAAAAATACCCTCCATGTTTAAGCCATTCATATTCAAAGTCATCATCAATATTTATTTAAAATTGCAAAATATTTAATTACTCCTCAAAATTTAGGTTGTATAAATATCGGAAGGAAATTGATACTAAAAAAGCCATTATTGATACAATAATACAGTTTTTCGATTATTAACTGCATTATATTTATGCGGCCATAAACATTAAGTGCTCTACATTATTTTGTGCATAACAGTAAGGATCCAAACCACATTTGATACATGCCTGAGTAAATAAAATTTTTTATAGACACCATAAAATACTATTGTGAACGAACCATAAATGCTTATAAGAAATGTAAGTTATCGATTGCGTAAAAATATTTTAGTTTATGTACTATAAAACCTAAAGGTTATATACGTGGCTTGTTGCAAGAATAACCAATTTTAAAGAAAAGTCATGCTTTTATAAAAATTACCTTAAAGAGTTCAAATATTAATAATATATCTTTGTTATTAGAGAATTTTGAAAGTATCAAGTATCAAATTTTGAAGCATATAATTTGAAAATGCTGGTGAAACTCTTTCGAAAAAAGTTATGGATTCAGAAACAAACTATTACGTTCTATATGCAATTAAAATTTTTACGTGATTATTAAATCATTCCTATAAAGAAGTAGTTCACAACGCAATTCTCTTTACAAACCTGTTTTTTTTTTAAAAAAAAAAATCAAGATTATTTATATAAAACAATAGTTCCTGGACTGTTTTTCTTTGCAAACCAGTTTTAAAGTCAGAAACAAAACGGTTAATATCTTACATAATCAGTACAAACAAAGGAATAATAAAGTTCTACAGAGTATATGATTTTATGCTGCTCTCAAATTTATGAGTAATGAGTGCGCTTCGTATAAAATATTTTCTAGTGGTAGCGAAACGTAAGTTATTTTCTGATTCGATTTTAAGTTATTTTTTCACCACTATGTATCGAAATTTCACAGCCTCATATTGAATATTACTTTGCTGCAGTTATCATTTGGTGAGACTTTGGAAGAGTTGGCAAAATTAACACTTATTATACATGTTTTATATTTTAATTCTCTACGAATTTAATAAGCCTTCACGGAAACGAGAACAGTTTTTTACTAATTATTTTATACGTTTAAGCTAAGCTAAAAGCACATTCATTATGATTTTCTTTCTAGTAAATTTTTTCATTTATTGTAATTAATTTCAACATAATTTTATTTAACTTTATTTTTATCGGTAAGTTTGTTTTCGGCCTTTTTTTCTTTTATCCTTAAAACATTTACAATTACAGTATTTCTTTTAAAACTTTTTTAGAGGCATAGACGCATTATGAAGAATGTTTTTTATCTGAAAATATTTATTCTTTATTTCAAATGTCTCCATCACTGACATAAAGAAATGCGTCTTGTTGTGAGCCTTTACGTTTTTCAATCAAGTTTAATATTATTTTTCTAATTGTTAAATATTATGTTAATTATAATCAGTTGTATTAATTTTCTAATATATATATATATACATATATAGTTGATTTTCGTTATGAATTTATCTTTTAAAGTTGATTTGATAAATCAAAGTTAATTAAAGTGAATATTTTTAACGCTTGAGAATTCCAGAATATATTTTTTTTTATTTTAGATTAGTTATAAAAATCAGCTGAAATGTCACAAAATTATTACTTACGTCAATTTAAAAATTGTTTTTTAGATAAATTTTATCCATTGTTGTTGACGCTTTGTAAATTTATAAAACTGTACGTATTTATTTGCTTTATAAAATGCTTCATTTTATTCATCGTTAAAGCATTTCATATTGGATGAAAGTCTTAAGGTGTTTATGAAACTAATTTATAATTAAAAATAATTATATTTTTCAAAACGTTGATACTTATTATTCATATTATTTTTATTTATGATCAATAATATTTTTTTTCTTTTATTTAAACGCTTAAGAGCGTTTTTAAGATATTTTAAATTAGATACAAGTTTTCAATTTATTAATATTTAACAAATAAATTATCTCAAGTACGTTTCATTTTTGAATGCACTGTTAAAAATTTTGGAGTGGTATAAACCATAATAAGTTAAAATTTGCTACAAAATTAATATGGCGCTGAGTTGAAAGACATTATGGTACATATTTAATTTTATTTAACGATACACTACTGTTGTTCAACTTAAAGAAAAGCAAGGTTCAATTTCATAAATTTTAATTATTGCATCAAATGTATTGTGCGTAAAAAAATAAACGATCGAACTTTAATTTAAAAGTGGCAGGAGACGCAGTTGGTTTGTCGTCGGCCTTCTTAGCCCAAGTCTGCGGGTTCGATCCCCTGCCCAGACACCGGATTTTCGGGATG